GATGGTTGTGAGCCACCATGTGGTTGCTGGGAATTGAACTCAGGACCTCTGGAAGAGTAGTCAGTGCTCTTAACCTCTGAGCCATCTCTCTAGCCCCCCCCCCTTTTTTTTAAGGTTTGTTTATTTATTATGTATACATCGTTCTGCCTGCATGCCAGAACAGGGCACCAGATCAAATTATAGATGGTTGTGAGCCACCATGTGGTTGCTGAGAATTGAACTCAGGACCTCTGGGAGAGCACTTAGTGCTCTTACCTCTGAGCCGTTTCTCCAGCCCTAAAGCAAATTTTAAAAAGGTTTTATTGTATGTTTCCATCATATATTATACTGTTACATAGAGGCATTTTCATGCAAGTATTGTACTTTGAGTATATAAACCCCCACCCCCACCCCCATGTCTTTCTACTGTCCCCTTCCACCCATTAGTCCCTTAGTCCCTTTCTTCCCATGGACAATTTTACTTCTTGTCATATATATATATATATATATATATATATATATATATATACACACACACATATACATACATGCATATATATATATGACATCACTTTAAATATCTCTATGAAATAAATCTAGGAAGCACAAATGAGAGAAAACTGAAATTTGTCTTTCTGAGACTGACTTAATTTGCTTAATATGATTATCTTTGGTGGCAATCATTTTCTTGCAAATGACATAATTTTGTCCTTTATGGTTGAAGGAAATTCCATATGAATTCTCTCTGTCCATTCTTCTTGTTGTTAGCTAGCTAAGGGTTTTTGTTTTCTTAACTTTCAAGCTTGGGTGCCCGTGATGCTGGGGCTGTAACAGGCAGCCTGTGCACCTCCTGGGTGAAGTGGTCTCACTGGTTGCACTCCATTTTGAGCTGGCATGGTGGCAGGGACACACTCAGTCACTGTGAGAGGAGAGGACGACAGGAAGGGGTCGGCAATGAGACCACCTCCAGGTGCCCATCATTCCCCATGACGCCTCTGTGCTCCATAGCTTTTTCTGTTTCTTGTTCAACAGTTAGCAAACGTGGGTATGGCGAGGGCACCTCGAACTCAGTGTGGTCATGGTTTAGCTCTTTGCAGATCTCTGCTCTCCCCTCCATCTCATCCAGATGTGTAGTAGTTGACTTGCTTTGCTTTTCAAGCTAAGAAAGACTTGAAGAGTCATCTGGTCATGGTCACCTTTTCTCCTTCAAATCCTGAAGGTCTCAGTGCTTCTCTCAAAGTAAGTCTCAACCTCATCTACACCTTCCCATATCCAAACCAGCTTCCTGTTTCCTAGCTGCCTGCCAAGGCCTGTCAGCTGGCTTCCTGGCACCCCTCTGTCTCTGTTCCAGTCCTCCCTTGTGCTGAGAAGTATCTTGAACAGTACTGAACTTGGACGGAGCCTGTAGACTTGAGAGGACTGTGTGGGCTGAGGATTGCAATGACTCTGATTTTCCAAATGCAATAAAGTATCTGTCAGGCTTTCAAAGGTGTAAGTAGGATGGCTGTTGTGTTATGGGACATGGAACAGGGGGTGGTTTGTTCCCAGGAACCCCAGAATTTCAATTCCTAGAACTCAGAGGTGAATCATTATTTCATTTGGAACCTTGATAAGTTCACAGCTGATACATAGTGAAAAGATATTTTAACACCTCCTTCCCTCCCGAGTGGTCCTGCCCCCTAAATATTCTTGGCATAGGAATGTTGAGCAGCATTGTAACTCAGGAACTCATGAATATGTCTAGGCTTGTGGCAGAAAAGACCAGCGCCCTGCAGGGAAGGAAGAACATTCGAGCTGGCCATACAACCCTCCTGTTCACACTCTTCCCTGCCGCTTTGCTGGTCTTATCTGACCTTGAACTTTCTCTGGTGGGTGTTTACGTCTCCCTGCACATCTCTTGCTCTAACACCTCATTCTCACAGGCTTCCTGATCAAGGTAAGGAACAGGAATAGTGAAATTACAGCTGGAGTTTTGGTGCAGTGTGGCCTCTAAGGAACACAGCTGCTCTGTGATCTTAAATTTGAAATATGACTGATGAATCATAGCAAAAAAATGACGGTGAGCTGCCTCCCAGGAGATCCACAGGTGCCACGGGCTATGGTGGAGTGTGTGTCAGAGATGGGCCCTTCCTCACCTTCAGAGCAGAAAGTAATGTGATCTTTATGGTGGGTCTTACCGGGCATTGGCAACCACTTCAGACAGTAGGAGGTCCGTAGGGCTGTCCTGATGGCAAAGTAGGTTGTTGGGGACATGTTGGGGATGGGGCATGAGCTCCAGCATGTGGGTAGGAGCTAGATCATGGAGGACCTTACTTGGGGACAGAGTTAAACAAGGAGTTTGGCTTGTTTAATTCTGTAGCTAGAGGAACATTGTTACAGAATTTGCGCTAGGGAGTTCTGGGTCAGATTCCTCTTTGGAATATGACTGCCTTCTTAAAATCCCCCCACCCTGCCCCTAAAGGCAGAGGTCTTATTCCCATCCTGTGTCATTTAATCCATTCTTTTTTTAGAAAAGTATTTATTTTATTGTGTGTGTGTGTTTGTGGTGGAGGTGTACTATGGCATGTGTGCAGATCAGAGAACAGTGTGAGGGAGTCAGTTCTCTTCCACTGGGCAGTTCTCAGGGGTCAAAGCAGGTTGTAAGGCGTGGCGGAAGGCGCCTTTACCTGTTGAGCTGACTCTCCAGCCATTTCATCTGTTCTTGTGGGTGTGAGACTCAGAGTTCTGGACTCCCCTTTGTGAGGCCCAAATCCAGTTTAGTGACTTAACCGTGACGATGCTGTGCCGCTGGACTGCAGTGGCCCAGTGAGTGCCCTGCTGGAGGATGGGAGAGCTCCTGTGCTCCTCACTGCTCGCCAGGGAGGGCCTGGAGGATGGGAGAGCTCCTGCTTGTCAGGCCTGGAGGATGGGAGAGCTTCTGCTTGTCAGGCCTGGAGGATGGGAGAGCTTCTGCTCGCCAGGGCCCAGAGGATGGGAGAGCTTCTGCTCTCAACACTGCTCGCCAGGGAGGGCCCTGCAGCGGCGCCTGGACGTTCTGGCTTCCAGTTTCCTCAGGTCTTGGAAACAGTACTCTAATGGTGCCGTGTCAGCAAAATCCTGAATTTGTAACAATTTCTAGCTGCTGGGAATCTAGATGTCTAATGATCAGTTACCGCTCACTTGGCTTTCTTGTTATTAGTCTGACAGGTTGGTTTTTAACCCTGCATGTCGAGTAATGGATATTTATGCCAGAAATATTTTTGTGTTGAAAAAGTTTCCAATGACTGCACTTTCAAGCAGGCATGAGGTTTAGATGAGTCATCTGTGCCCCTCGACTGAAGATGTTCACATCTCCATATCTGCTGCCACAGTGATTTTGAAGCTTGCCGTATGTTTTTGTTG